TTTAGAAAAAAGAATAGACTTGTGTATTCGCGAAAACGGAGGGCATTTTGAACACTTACTGTAATTGAATTTTATTTTATGTTCTTAGTCATTAATTTAATTTTCTTCTTGTGAGTTTTGTTTAATTACTAACTATTTTATACCAGCATCAATTATTACTTCATAATTTTCAAATCAAAATATTCCGAAAACGGTACACAGTATCGAGTTTTACCAAGAGTACCTTTTTCGTGTAAAATTGAATGATGTTTAAGTTTACTTGAAATTTTGATTAATAATTATACTCTTAAAAAAGTTATATTGACTAATACTTAGTACGATCCGTGTAACTAGCGCCCTCTATGAGAATCAGATATAAAAACAAATTCATGGGATGTATCAGCTTCCAAAACATATTCGTATAAAATTTCATTACAATGTTGCCAGTAGTTTCGGCAAAATCGTAAAAAATGCGTAAATTTTTTTTCTTCAACGCCCTGTATCTTGAAAACGGATGGCGTTACAAAAATTTTTTACTAAGCAAACCCCAATTATTTTTCAGTTTTTTTACCTACCCTAGAGACGGGGTTACCTTTTTTTGAAACACCCTGTATAAATTTTTTTCTGTATTTTCAAGATAAAATGATCCATGTTAATTTAAATTCAGTTTAAATTTAAAATTATTGTTTAGCGCTTTCCAATTTCATTACCATATATAAAGTAGTTCATATATCGTTTCAGAAATTTTATAAAACTTCCAACTTTAGCTGACGATAAAAGATATATCATTAATCATGTTTTAAAAGTTTTTCACATAAAAATAAGAAATTTTAAGAAAGTTTTACCTACTGTTTGGGTAATCTGTACAGGAAATAAACTCCTTACGGAAGTTTTATTCGTTATTCTCTACCGCTGAAATTTATCCAGCAAGTCTCTTTTTGTTACTGGACCCATTCTTAACATAGTTTCCTAATTGAATATAGTAAAAATGTTTTACATTAGTTATATGACTATGAAAGGCTTGCTTTTTCTTTTAATATATATTTACAGTGTGGAAAACACTTATCGGATAAAATTTTTTCTGTTCTTGTTTTAAAAATGCCCTGTATATTTTTATATTTTGAAAAGTTGCTTTAGAACTTGATCTTAACGAACTGTATCATGTAGAGTACATTATGATTAATAGAGGGTGAAATTTTGAAATTATACAGTGCGGAAACCACTTATGGAATAGAATTGTATTTGTCCATATTTTCTTCTTTCTTCTTTATGTGCCTTACTCGATTATCGAGCGTTGGCTATCAAATTGGCTATAGTAATTTTGTTGACGGCAGCTCGGAAAAGAGATGCAGAGGATCTGTTAAACCAATCTCTCAGGTTTCTAAGCCATGACGTTCTTCTTCGACCTGGCCCTCTTCTTCCGTCAACCTTGCCTTGTATTATTAAATGGAGTATATTATATCTCTCTGGGTGGCGCATAACATGGCCAAAATATTCAAGTTTGCAATTTTTAACTGTTTTGACGACTTCCGTAACTTTTCCCATCCGATGAAAACATCCAAAAAGATGTTTTTAAATGCTGTTATTGATTTGGGTTTTGTTGTAGCCGTTTTGTGCCTTATTGAATTGATTTCGGATGACCTATGATTGCTGTCGCTAAGTCTTATGGAACGAGAAATGAGAGTGTTGACAACTGAATTGAGTTGGGCGGGGTGATGATGTGACTGGGCATTAAGATATCGGTTTGTATGACGGTAGGAATGTGGTGTTTTTAATAAGAACATCAAGGAATGGCAAAGACGCTTCAGACTCAACTTCCATCGTGAATTGAATACTAGGATGTATTCCATTCAGTTGGAAGAGGAAGAGATCTAACGCGTCTTTACCATGAGGCCAAATGACACAAGTGTCATCGACATATCGTAACCAGCAGGTGGATTTGAGATTTGGTTAGGACAGGGCTGCTGTTTCGAAATGTTCCATGAAAATATCAGCTATTACGGGAGAAAGGGGAGATCCCATTGGGGCACCTTGGATTTGACGATAGAAATGATTATGGAATGAAAAGTAAATATTAGACATGCAGTATTTTATAAGAGATAGTGTGTCTTGGGGATTTGATGTTTAGAGTCCAAGATGGAAATGGTTTCATCGATGGGAATGTTGGTGAACAAAGAAACAATGTCAAAACTAACTAGTATATCTGAGGGTGAAATAGAAATATTTTTCAGAAAATCAACAAAATGAAAAGAGTTTTTGACAAAGACGATAGCTTTTTCGGCTAATGGTTGTAAGGATAAAGCGAGATGTTTTGCCAATTTCTGAGTGGGGCAGTTATATGCACTGACGATGGGTCTTTGGGGAACATTGGGCTTACGAATTTTTGGAAGGCCTTATATCTTTGGAAATCGGGATGATTTTTCTCTGGGTATAAAAGATTTTTTGATGTCTAAAGGTAGAGTAGATTTATTTATGATGGATTTGGTCGTTTTTTCTAGGTAGGTGGTGGGATCGTTGGGACGCATTTGTATTCTGTGGAATTGAGAAGTTCGAAAAAATGAAAAATGGAAAAAAGGTTCAAGTAGTACACCTAATATGACATTTAATATAGTGAAAAGATCAAGAAGCCTAATTCTGCAAAATTAAAGCATGATATATTTGGCTCAAGTTACTTATGTCAGTTCTCTTATTCAAAGCATTAGGGTGTTTTAGTATTGAACACATTTCCAAAAACTGTCTTTTAGCTAGATTGCGTTCAGTGGCAAGGATCTTAACTTCATTGAAATCCACTTCATGTTTGGTATTTATCGCGTGTTGTGCCAGGGCACAAGTGTGTTTTGATAAATTAATGTCACTACGATGTGAAGTGAGACGACCTTTTAATGATCTACCAGTTTGACCAATGTAACATAAATCGCAATTAGCGCATGGAATTTTATAAATTGTGTTAACTTGTTCCAAAGTGGACAAGGGTGTTTTAGTTTTAGAGAACAAATTTCTAACAGTTTTAGCATTCTTAACAGCAATTTTAACCGGTATATTATTCTGTTTATACAATTTAATAAGCTTCTCAGTAACTTGAGGGAAATAAGGTAAAGAAGAATAATGGGTGGTAGTATTCTCAAGATCAGTATTATGCAGAACAATGCTATTTATTGAATTATTTGAGATGTTTCTAAGTTGGTCACCATCGGGTATGTCATAAATTGAGGATCCATAGCTGTGTGAATAAAGGTATTTATTAATGATAGAGGAAGGATATGAATTCTCTATTAGAATATTTCTCAATAACTTAAAGGATTCCCTTCGATTAATTGGATGTGTCAATTTATTTAATCTGTAGCTCAAAGCTTTTATAAGGTTTAATTTATATTTCATGGGATGACAGGAATGGTAATTAAGGAACCTATTAGAGGCCATTGGTTTTCTATACCAACTTGTGGTTAGGGTGTTGTCTCCCATTCTAATGACACGCATGTCTAGGAAGGGTATACTATTGGTGGTAGTGTCCTCAAGTTCAACAGTGAACTGTAAATGAGGATCAAACTCATTAAAGAAGGATAAGGTACCCTGAACCTTGTCAGGTGGTAGGGCTAATAATAAATCATCCACATACCTCTTAATAAAAGGGATTTGAAAATCCAAAAGACCTAAACGGTCAGAAACCAAATCATCCAATACAAAGTTAACTAGGATGGGAGAGATTGAGGAACCCATAGGTGTACCAAATGTTTGAAGGTAAAATTTGTCATCAAAGACCAAGAAATTAGTGTCGAAAACAAGTTGCAACAGTTCTGCAAATATATCCCAAGACACAGGGCAGTTAGGTTTGATAGAATTCCAATGATTTTTTAAGGAAGTGATTACACTGGACAGAGGTAAGTTAGTGAAGAGAGACACCACATCAAAACTTACTAAAATGTAACCTTGTGGTAGTTGAAAATTGTTAATAAATTCACTAAAGTTAAAAGAATCAACAATATTAAAGTCATTGTTGTAATTATATGATTTAGATAAGATGTCTGTTAGAAATTTAGCTATTTTTATATTAGGTGAATTAATAGATGACACAATAGGTCTCATGCTCAACGTAGGTTTATGTATTTTTGGTAGATTAAGGATTGGTAGAAAGTGGTTGATAGTATCTATCATCATCTAACAGTGATTTACTCAAACTGAAATATTGATCTCTATCCATAAGGACAGTAGCATTACCGTTGTCACTCGTAAGAACGAGAAGATTAGGGTGGGTTTTTAAAAACGATACCGTCTCCCTGTAAATCTTATCTAACTCCGATAAGGCTTGCCTAGGGCGTTTAGTGAAATTCAACAAGATGTTGTTGAATTTAGGACCCAAAGATAACAACTTAAGTATGTCAGGAGGAACCTCAATGTTAGATAAATTCTTAATCCACTTAGGGTTAAAGGGGATTTTCTTAAAATCAGGAGTGTCTAAGTTATTAAGTTTATTTTTAAGGTTTGCCATGGATTTATTATAAGTGTAATTAAATTTTTTATGTAGAGAAGCCTCAAAAGTGTCCAACAAATTGTCAGGTAGGTGACTATCCAGAAACGAAGTAACATTATTTATTTGAAAAGTTAAAGATTTAATATCTGTGTGAACCTTAGAACCTATATATATATATATATATATATATATATATATATATATATATATATATATATATATATATATATAATATATATATATATATATATATATATAAGTTTTGGCATTATTGCATGCTGCCAATGAAACAATTTATTACAAACGAATAGTCTCAGGGACACTCTGTACAATATACCTATTATTCTTTGGTTCTCAAGTTCATAGAGATAGCCACTTCAATTTTAGAAACTATTTAACACTAACATTATAAATAGCGAGCTGTCCAAGTGTTTCACACTTCTCAGTCAACTGATTACTGTTAATCGGAATTTAAATTAGTCCATGTTGCCAGATTTGTTGATTTCATATAAAAAACTTGTATTAAAAATTCAAACAAAATTTGTTTACAAAATATTAATTTACGTAATTTTTATTGCTTAGATAATATAATTTTATCGACTATTAGATCTTTTCTAAATACTGACTTAAATTAGCCAATTTAATAAGATAGCCTAAAACCATATTATGTGTAAATGTTATTGTTGCTCGTTTTTTAATTAACGCGAAAAAAAATTACATTATTAAACGGGTTTTTAAGAGCGAACATTCGATAAGTTGAAAAGATTCTCTTATTGTTGCATTGATGTGGTAATATAAAGTTGCCTGATATCTATATTAAAAATAATTGTTTGCTTATCTTTTGAATGTTTATTTTATAAATTCGACAGATAACGGTACGGTTTTTAATATAAGACTCTTTTTGTAAAATCTACTTTTAGTCGTATTCCAATTTTTTTAAAAGTTCCGAAAGTGAGAATGGAGAAAGAAGAAGTTGTGCCAGACGTCATTGACCAAGTACCTAAACATGTGGCTGAGGTAAGAGAACGCACATATTATAATTTAATAAAAAATATTTAAAATATCACTTTAGTAAGTTGTTTGCATTTTATAGTTTTTACCAGAAAATCACTTATGTCCAATTTACGTCGTTGCCGGTTGTTCCATTTTTCTACTACTTCCACTTTCTTATTCCCTTTATTTACATTTGTTAGTAGTCTTGAAGTCGTCTTCTTTTCTGTTTTTCTGTAGGTGCTATTTGAGTACTTGTATTGTCTACCTATGGATTTTCACAATGTGAGTATGGTACAGGCATTAATATGCTTTTCAAGCTCTCCATGATTTTAGCTCCAGAAAGTGTTATCTTTAGTAAGGAATAAATTACTGGTTTATTGCCTCAACTTCCAATCTGAGGGACCAAGGAATATATCTTCAGAGTTTTGTTTCCCTTGACTAAATTTTATTTAAAACTATACATCTTCATGTACATAGTAAATTAGTAGGATAACAAGTTATGGCGCGAAAACCTTTAATCGACTGTACTTGTCGCAAGAAGTGTTGTGAACATTTTTCGGAAATGGACAAGAATGCGCTGTTTACGTCGTTACATGACTTTGATGACAAAAACTCACAAGACTCATACTTACAAAATATGATCGAAGTAACTCCCATTAAGAGAATGAGAAAATCTCAGAATGCCATTAAACGTATTGAGAGACCCAATAATTTTTTGTTTCATGTTTGTTTAAAAGGAGTACGTAAGCAAGTATGTAAGAAAGCTTTCTTAAGTTTATATGGTGTTGGCGAAAAGCATGTCAGAAGATTATGCCACCTACTAGTGACTGGATCCACTCCAAGAGATAATAGAGGTAAATCTGTTAAATCTAGGCATAATTTAATACCAGATGAATTGTGCTTTCAAATACGTGAGCACATACAATCGTTTGATGTAAAGGAAGTCCATTATGCTAATATATTAAAAAAGTATTTACCTGCTACTTTGGATGTCAAACAAATGCATAAAATGTTTATCGAAAAATTTCCGGAATCTAAAGTGAAATACAGTTTTTATTTGAAGTATTTTCATGAAAATTTTACATACTCTTTTGGTCGTCCTCAAGTTGATGTATGTTCTGCTTGTGAAGAACTTGGTCAGAAAGTTAAAAGTACCACTCTCAACGACATTGCAAAACGAGTTGCTGTTGCAGAACTATTAGTTCACAAAAATAGGGCTAAGAAATTTTATAAAAAACTAGAGCAGATTAAAAAACTTTCTTCAGAGACGGACGAGATACTAGGAATCTCCATGGATTATATGCAAAATTTGCCGATACCTGACATACCTGTACAGGAAATTTTTTATTATCGGCAGTTATGGGTTTTTGAATTCAGTATACACAACTTAAAAACAGGAGAAGCTAAATTTTTTTCTATCACGAGGGCGAGGCCCACAAAGGACCCAATGAAGTGTGCACCTTCCTGAAAAATTATTTTGAAAATGAGGTTTCTGAAAATGTAAAAGAGGTCCATATATTTTCAGATGGTTGTGCAGGCCAAAATAAGAACCACACGGTAATAAGATTCCTTCTAGCTCTTGCTTCGTCAGGAAAATTCAATCACATTTTTCATTATTTTCCAATCAGAGGCCACTCATTCTCCCGTCGATAGAGACTTCGGGGTAGCAAAAAGACTCATTCGCAAGCAGGACCGAATTTTTCTTCCTGAAGAATATTACGAATTGATAAAAAAATCGTCAAGAAAATCTCTTTTTTCTATAGAACTGGTAAAAAATGAAACAATTTTGGAATTCAAAAAATGGTGGCCCATGCATTATAAGAAAACCGTACTCTCCATTGACTCTATGGGAAAAAAACCAAACATGAGAAAACAACTTTTCAAATTTCTCAATATAATGAGTTCGAATATGACAACAAAAAACCGGGAATTGTTAAAGTACGTCCATTTATCGATGGGCTTATGTTTCATGAATTTTCTTGGAAAAACCAGCTGGAGTTTGTCCTAGTTTGCCAACAGATCTTGCTTCTTCTTCTTCTACGGCACTACAGCCCAAAATGAGCCTTGGCCTCCTTTATTTTTTGCCTCCACCCTTGTCTGTCTGTGGCTGCTCTTCTCCATACACGGACTCCTAAAAGTGCTTGTGCGTCGCTGCTTACTGTGTCTTCCCAGCGCTTTCTTGGCTTTCCAACTGGTCTCTTTCCCTGCATTCTGGCGTTCAGTGCTCGTTTTGGTAGCCTATCCTCTCCCATTCGTATCACATGTCCGGCCCATTGCAATCTTTGTATTCTAATGAAGTCTGACAGGGGTGTTTCCTTATACAGTTGATAGAGCTCGTTGTTATATCGAATTCTGAAGATTCCGTTTTCCCTCACAGGTCCTAGTATTCTCCTCAGTACTTTTCTTTCGAATGTGTCGAGTTTGTTTTTGGATGTTTCTTTCAGGACCCATGCTTCGCTGCCATAACATGCTATTGGCCGAATTAAAGTTTTATAGATTCTCATCTTTGTATTTCGGTGGACACTTTTAGACCGAAATATATGGGAGAGGGCAAAATAAGCTTTGTTTGCCTGCGTTATCCTTTTTCGTATTTCTCCATCCTCTGCTCCATCGGCATATATTTCTACTCCCAGGTATGTAAACTTTCCAACCGTTTCAATGTCATCTTCATGTATAATGTTTTGTGGGATTATATTTCTTCTCGTCTGTACCATTATTTTTGTTTTTTCTGTGTTAATTTCCAGACCTAGCCTTTTCGTTTGTGTTTTTAACTCTGCGTATGCTTCCTGTGCTCCTGTTGATGTTCTACTCATAATATTAATATCATCGGCGTAGGCAGCCAGTTGAACCGTTTTATTGGTCAGTAGGTTTTCTCGTCCAGTTTGCATTTGCCTAACCGCATACTCCAGTGCCAGGTTAAACAATGTTGGTGCCAGCCCATCTCCCTGCTTTAGTCCCTGCGAGATTTTGAAAAAGTCTGTCCGGTTGTTTTGTATTCGTACACATGCCTGAGTTTCATCCATTGTGGCTTTAATGAGTCTAATTAGCTTATGTGGTATTGCTAATTCTGCCAATATATAGTATAGTCTGTCCCTTTTGACTGAATCGTATGCCTGTTTGAAGTCTACAAACACGTTGTGAACATCAATGTCGTGTTCCCACGATTTGCTCAAGACCTGCTTGACTGTAAATATTTGATCCATTGTCGATCTTCCCCGTCTGAAGCCCGTCTGATATTCTCCAATAATATTTTCTGCTAGTGGTTGGAGTCGCTGGTTTATAATATACGTGAGGACTTTATACGCTGTACATAGTAGAGAAATTCCACGGTAGTTTTTGCATTACAGATCTTGCTTACACAGAAAAAATCCCTATTAATTCGAAAAAATAAACAACATCAAGAAACTTGTGCAATATGTGCCAGAAGACAAAATGTTTTTTTAATGAGCTGATTTTATGGCCTACCACTAATAGTGATGAATCACCAGAGGAAGATTACTAAAAGACTATTTCTTAACATTCAACATGTTTTTTTGCCACCAAATAAATTTTTTTCCTTAATAATATTGGGGTTTTCTATTATTAATCATAAAATTATCAGTGTTTGTTTGGAAAAGGACACAACTCCAAAAACTAAATTATTTTTTACAGTGTACCTATATCTTTTTGATGTTGGATTTGTTAATGAAACTTCGTCATGCATCACATTTTGAGACTTTACTCCGAAAAGAGAAAGATATCTTCATTAATACCAAAATGAAACGTTTTTTTCGTTTCCTGTAAAATTAACATTTCTGGAGTTGTGGGCTTTTCGAAATAACCGATTCAATTATATATTAATTCATAAATCGAGAAGAGATAGAATAACTACCAAAGACATTAAAAATCATACGGCAATAGAAGGAACAATCATGAAAGTTATAGAAATAAAACATTTGATTTGGTACAGAGACTTAAATCGAATGAATAACGATAGACTATGCGCAGAGCAATAAGCGCAAGAGACCTCCAGAATTTGTTCAGTAACATAGTGGCAGAGCACACTTATGTTTTTTTTTGTAATAAAACATCCTGTATTTTATTCTATATTTAAAATGTTCTTTACTTCCTCATCCTAAAAATATAAAGTTTTGTTTTGTTATACAGGGTATTAACAAAGTTATAACCAATGTTCTATGAAAATCGTAACAAGTTCAACTTCCTGCATAATTAAAAACAAGTACAAAAACAATGATCTATTGATGCCATATTTTTTATTGATTGTCAACATTTTTAAAAATATTGTTCTGAAACTATTGTCTTGTGGCATTTTAAGATTAATTACTATTTAAATGGGAATAAGCCACAATTAAAGGTTAAAGTACGTTTATTGACGTTTCAATTTCCACTTCGGAAATCGTTCTCAAAATACAAACATTAGTAAATTAAACAAATTTTGTTTTTTTGTTACTTAGTGAAAAATTCTTCTAATAATTTAATTTTATCTGACTCATTTATATTGACAATTCAGACATACATTATACATTTTAAAGTAGACGACTTTAAAATGATATTGCCAATATTGTTGAGTTGCGCTCCTGGGACGACTTTACTTAAGATAGTTCATTCGATTACATGAAATCAACTTTAACTTGAGAATATCCGTCAGAAAAAATCATAGCATGTAATTCGTCTTTAAAAAGACAAACACATGCCATGATGACAGTAAAATTCTCCTGTTAGTGATTCCATAGTAAATTATGAGGGAAAAACCAGGAAAAAACCTCATAATACTATCCCGACATGGTAAGTATTTGGTCGTGCATTTAGTTTATCTTCAATAAACACCAAATTCTGATTTTATATGTTTGTTATTTAAAAAACATAAATGATGTATCCTCTATATGTTACTGACTTATAATACTGGTATTTTCTTTTTAATAACTTCCTCTTTCAATATGGGTAACCAGATCCTAGTACATTCTGCTGAGGAATTTGCGACACAATTGGTCTTATTTAGAATAATTAGAGATGCGTGTTTACATATTTGAGATCTATCAAATTCTCTATTCTTAATATAAGATTGATGTTCACTTATTCTAACATTTAATGGCCTTGATGTTTCACCTAAATAAATCTGATCGCATTCACAAGGTATTTTATAAATGCAATTCTTTGTCCTTTCTTGTTCATTGTTAGGTTTGGTTTTTGGACAAAATAAAATAATTTTTGGTAATAAGTCTAACATATTTTTGAAACTTTTATGTATGTATAGGTACAGTATCCTGGTGGTGAAAAAGTAGATCTTGGAAATGAACTGACACCAACACAAGTAAAGTATACACCAACTATAACTTGGCCAGCCGATTCAGATTCTTACTACACAGTTCTGATGGTTGGTAAGATTACTTTCAAAAATGTTTGTTAGGTTTTCTAAATGAAGCATTTTTCTTTTTAAACTAGATCCAGATGCACCAAGCAGAAAAGAACCGACGTACTGTGAAGCTCTCCATTGGTCTGTAGGCAATGTACCGGGAAATGATATAGCAAAAGGTGAAACTTTTGCTGAGTATTGCGGCTCTGGAGCTCCACAAGGAACTGGATTACACAGATATATATTTTTAGTTTATAAACAAAATGGAAAGATTGAGTTCAATGAACCGAAGATAGACAATCGGTAAGTACATGAGAATGTACATATTTTTTCTCTATACCTAGGATTAACTGAAGGTACGACATTAGGAGCTGTAACTCCTATGTTGGTTGATTTGACATGACACACATCCTTACATCAACACACGTTTACACACACCCAAATGTGTGTGTTTACACATACATATATGCCCAAAAATAAAGCTATCTCTTTAAAATATTCTTATAAAACCGCATGATGCTGAAGTTTTAGAAGACTTCTTCAATAGTTCTTGTTTTATAGTGTATTTTTATGTATGAGAGAGTAATAAAACAATAAATTATGTATGCAAATCCCTAAACTGTTGATACGGGTGACTCAATGAAAAACAGATATTTGTCAACAAGTTTACAGAAGTATATAGGAAAACAATTTTAAATTGAGTATGACCACCAGGTATAAAGGTTGGAGCAGAATAGAATACAATAGTTGTGAGGGTTACTAATCCCTAAATAAGGTTGCCAGTGTCGGAGTGATGGAGGTTAACAGGTACTAATGAATTTGCAAGAAATGTAAGATGTTTATTTTATTGGTTATATATAACCAATAAAAGTTTAATAAGTACCTACCTATTTGCAAAATAAAGTTTAATTCTTTAGATAAAATAAAACGTTTTATTTTATCTGAAATGAGTGCATTCCACGAAGTAAGGGTTTCAACAATCAAACATTTAATTCTTTAATTCCAGGAATCTACGACAGTAATTGACTAGATAATTACCTTCTAAACTTATTCCACAGAAAATGTGATAGTGGGTTTTTCCATTTTGTAGGAAGGTCCAAGTGGCGTATTCAAAATTCTTAACAGTTCACTAAAAGTAGGTACTTCAGTTGCAAGGTGCAGTTTATTGTGTATACTAGTGTTATGGAAAATTTGGAAGTGCCGTGTAAACGCCGAAAAATTGGTCCTTTAACAGTTAATGAAAAAACATTAATATTTAATTGTTTTAAATCATTTACAGACAAACGTTTATGTGAAAGTGTTGATGAGACCGTTGAGTTAGTTAGCAGTACACTTGGTGTTGGGAAATCTACGATTTACAGAGTTATTAAAGAAGAGAAATGTGGTAGTTTTCAAATGCCACGTAATGCTCCAGGGAAACCAAAATTTCAAATAGAATATCATTTTAAAGAAGGACTTCGACGGAAAGTGCATGAATTCTTCTTTAGACAAGAATTTCCAACATTGGATAAAGTTCTTGTCTCAGTTCGAGATGATAAGGATTACCCAGAAATGAGTCGAAGTACGTTATGGAAACTTTTAAAAGAAATAGGCTTCCGCTGGAAAAAGAATCCCAGAAAGTCTATTTTATTAGAAAGAAGCGATATTGTCATATGGAGAAGACATTTTCTAAGAACCATAAAGGAAATGAGAAACCAAAAAAGAAAAATATTTTATCTTGATGAAACATGGATCAACGAGGGTCATACACCAAATAAATTTTGGCAGGATGAAACTGTTACAAGTCAAAGGCACGCTTTTGTAAATAACTTATCTACTGGTTTAAACCCACCATCAGGAAAGGGACGCAGGCTGATAATAGTACACATTGGCAGTTCAGACGGTTTTGTTGAAGGTGGTTTATTAACTTTTGAATCAACTCGTACCGGTGACTACCATGAAGACATGAACGCTGATGTCTTTCAAGAATGGTTCGAACAAATGATAGATCTTCTTCCTAAGAACTGTGTAATAGTAATGGATAATGCAAGTTATCACTCCAGACTTATAGAAGGACTGCCCACAACCAAGTGGTTAAAAAAAGACTTGCAGAATTGGCTGAGTTCAAAAAATATTACGTACCATCCCGGATCTATAAGAAAGGAACTTTATTCGTTGTGTGCCCTTCATAAAGAAAAATTTAAAAAATACGAAATTGATGAAATTGCCAAAAATCGTGGAATGACAGTACTTAGATCCCCACCATATCATTGTGAATTAAACCCGATTGAACTGGTATGGGCACAGATAAAGAGTGAAGTTTCAAGAAAAAATACCACTTTTAAAATTCATGATGTTAAACAGTTGTTTTTGGAGGCCGTAAATAATGTAAAACCTGAAAACTGGGAAAAGGCAGTAAATCACACTATTAAAGAAGAGGAAAAAATGTGGAAGCTGGACAATATTACTGATAAAATGATCGAGCCAGTTATTATAAATCTTGGTTCTGAAAGTTCATCTTCTGAATCTGATTTGGATTTGTAACAAGTAGCTGTAAGTTTTATATTAATATTTTTATTCATCTATTTAACATACCTTAGACGGTTTTAAAAACTCTTTTTCTCTTTTGTAATTTTTAAAAATTAAAAAAAATGTGAATTTTTTAAAACCCTTTTTAATGTAGGCCAGTCAGTTCTAATATAGTGTGTGATAAAAGAGGTCACTTTTGTTTACATACACATAACACTTTATAACACTGAAATAATTCATTTATTTTTTACAATTATTCAAAGTAATTTTTCAATTAATCTTGAGCACGCCCATAAAAATTATGCTAATTACTCTCTCGTTCATAAAAATAAACTATAGTGATAGGCGAAAGTAAAATATTGTTATTATTCTATTATCAACTGTATCACCAATATATCCCAAAAAAAATAGAAGTCTACTTAAGAGTCTTTCTTTTCTTTTAATCAAACTTAAGAGACTTTTAATCAAACATAACATTAGATAAACTACTATACTATTTAAATTACTAACTTAATTATTTTATTTTATGTTAAAACTTATGCTCTATTTTAGGACCAGAGCTGGCAGGCTTAATTTTTCGACAAGGAAATTTGCAGAAAAGTACAATATAGGTCAACCACTCGCTGGCAACTTTTTCCAGGCTCAGTTCGACGAATCAGTACTTGAAATGTACAAATTAATGAAGGATTAAAAATTTTATACTTTTGTTTTATAAAAACATAAATAAATAGTTTTTGTTTCGTTTGTAGCATTTTCTTTTTCCCAAAATGGGTTACAATAATCGATATCGATATGGCTAATATATTAGCGTTATAACTTTAATAACTTTAAAAAATTGTTTACTTTAGCCAAAAGTTGTTTTCGAAGGTGAGAACTATTTACGCCTTTTTATTCGATTTTTATCTGTTCTGATTACAGCGAATTTAAAAGTATTAGCGGAGATTTTGAATAAAATTTGATGAAATGTAATGTTTTACTTCATACTACTAATTGGAAGGATACCTGATATCTCTGAGATTCTTTATCGTTTAGAAGAATTGGTGAACAGGGGACTCGCTAAAACCAAACCCAGACAGCTTGTGGAATGGCGCTCTTCGCTGTCGAGAACGGTTGACATCCCACGTTATTGTAAAATTAGTAAATATTTGCTTTTTGGTAAATGCACCCGACCTACCCCAAAACGTAGTCGGACCATTTCCATAGTGAGTATAGTAAGTAGTATATATTAAGTCTGTTGTACGCCATCAGTGTTAAAAATTTGGGTAATTTATACAATGACAAAAATTCCAACTTCTTTAGACCACTCCATAGTAAAATTACCACGACACTGACCGTACCTCTCCTAGCCGCGTCCGAAGAGTTGAACATACGGTGCATCAGCTTCTCATTCTTTTGAACCAGGTCGACTTACCGACAAAGAACTTATTTGTTATTTTTTAAAACTTATTTGTTATTTTTTTAATCTTTCTTGTACCGATCTTTTTATATTTTAAGTGCCGAGTTTTCCTTGTCTTTTGAAAAAGGACAAGGTAGCGACCTTTACGTTTCTTTTTATATCACATTTTGTTTATTTACATTAGTACGTTTTATTCAATTTATCTTTATCCAAATATACCCCATCTACCCTAGATCTGTAGACCGACGTCTTAAAGATCGCCGTTGTGTCCTTCAAAACAATTGAGTGCCAATTTGCAAGGTTAACATATTTGTTTCTGTAATTCTTCTCTGCTCTTTTAATACCCACTTACCATCCAGACAAGTTACTAAAATCAAAAAGCAGATCTTAAATTTTAGATCAAGATTACTATACTGATAATACGTCACACAAAACAATCACCAAGCTTTACAAAATATTAGTTTAATGTTTAAAACAGAAATTTAAAACTGAGATAAAGAAGAAGCTAAGATAAAGAATACAATAAACGAAAATATGAATTTGTATATTTTGCAGATTATACAAAAGCGATCAATACAGTAAACTAGAATAAACTTGTGGAAACATTCTAGGAAGCAGAGGCAATTTCCATTCGTTTTGTTCTAGCAATTACTACTTAAAGTGACCGTATATATTTTTTAAAAATCTTAAATAAGCTATTGTGTCAAAAATAGTTGCATTAATAACACTTTTGCCTGCCTTTGACCTGAAATATTTTTCTCGTAGGCTACACTAAGTTTTTGATACATCACGAAATGGCTCTGATCCGAGAAAAGGAGTCTTAGATCTTTCTTTAACATCTTCTTCTTCTTCTGATAACGCTACAACCCTTTGTGAGGCTTGGCATGCTTAACAATGTTCTTCCATTCTGCCCTGTCAGATACTTTCCTTCGCCACTGCCTGATGTTCATGGTTTTAAGATTCCTTTCTACGTCGTTTATCGATCTTTTACGAGGTCTTCCTCTTATTCTGTTTTCTTGGGGCTTCCATCTCTGGACTACTTTTACAGCTCGATTATCTGGCATTCTTTATAGGTGACCAAGCTAGTTTAGTCTTTGTGACTTTACAAATCTAACAATAACTGCGCTCTGCATTAGTTCATCCAGCTCGTGGTTCATTTTAATTCTCCACGAACCATCGCTGCATTGGATTGGTCCAAATATCTTCCTTAGTATTTTGCGCTCAAATATTCTCAGTTGCTTTTCATCAATGGTTGAGAGGGTCCACGTATCACATCCATATGTGACCACTGGTCTAATAACTGTTTTGTTAATTCTTAACTTAGCCTCACGATTCAGTAACTTTTCATTAAGTCTTTATATGCATAAAAGCACTTATTACCGCCAAGAATCTGTGCTTGTATTTTTGTAGGTATGGTTGTCTACTTTCAGATTCTCATGTTGATTCATTTTTGTGCAATCCATATATTTTGTTTTGCCTTTATATATATATATATATATATATATATATATATATATATATATATATACATATATATATATATATATATATATATATATATATATATATATATATATATATATATATATATATTCCTCAATTGGAATGTGACTTGGGGTAACAGAGTACTAACAAAAAGCTACGAGATAGCTTTTTGTTTGTCTTGTTCTTTTTCTGAGCGTGCCTGTTCTTTCTTGGCAACATGTCTATCATAATCTGATTGACTTAAATTTCCCTTTTTAAACATCACACATGTGTTGCACTGGTCCTTTCGAGGAGTGTAAATTTCAAGATTTTTGTCTTAAAAGTTTGAAAGAAAAGTCTCCAAGAACAAGATCTTATGTTTTGACGTTCACAGTAGTTAATAAACTCACGATGCAAATGTCTGTAACTATTCCAAGTGGGTTCCAAATAAAGTTTTCTACTAGATGCTCGACAGTAGTGCGATTCAACTTTAGGCAGGCTGTCTAAGAATGTATTAACATTTTTTGTGCATTCAGAATCCTGCGGTGGCTCTACTAAAACTGGTCTAATAGCTTGCACTTTATTTGGTAAACATTTCTTTGAAACCCATTCGCTTACAGATCTTTCGCCAACACCTAAAGTGGCTAAAAACATTTTTTTGCATACATGATATTTTTTTGAAGACTCCTTATTATCTCTAGCTATTAAATAATATTTAAAACCTGTTTTCTTTCGGGACTCCTCTTCGACAGTGTTTCTTCTTCTGTGTTTGGGCTGAGAGTGCAGTACAAGACTGCTTACACAAATTTGTTTACCTTCCCAAGAATTAATTTCCCAGAAATAGTGAAATATTTGATTACGCATTTCATTCGTAATTTGCGAACATTCAAATTTTTGTTGCGGCCCCTTAGATTCATTTTTGTGCCCCCCACATGATGGCTTTAGTTGTCCCCTACCTTTATAGGCTCTCTGCTGGTACGTTCCTTCACTATTTTTCTGAAATCCTATGTACGCATGTCCTTTAAGTCTGGCTTGTGAATTTTTTGCTCGTTTCCACTGTGATGGATCTCTTTGCCCTTTACTCCTGCGTTTTTTTGCTCTTGCGTCCGGTATCTGATGATCCTCTTGGTTTCCAACTAAATTTTCTGAGTCAATATCAGTTTCTGTTGGCAGATACTCGCTGCCACTGTCACTTTTATGAAATGGATCGATATTTTCTTCTTCTATTGTCATTTCTTCCTGATAGTCAATTATTGGTATATCATTGACTGTGTTCTGTTCCAAATAATATGATTTTGGAGCTATATCGGTTTTGCAATGCGATGTTTCTTTTGGAATTTCTGCCACTTCCAGGGGTGTTAAAACTGGATTCTCTTCCAATTCTGCATTTTCTAATAGATCTTCCACTGGCTCTGGAACCGTGCTTTCTGTTCTTTGAGGACTTGATGCATCGTCCAATTGATATGTCAAAATGTTGATATTATCGTCTTCAGGTACTTGGTGAGAGGCGTCTGCTCTTGAAACTGAATTTAAAGCTAAGTCCACCAACAGCCGTGCTCTGTTCGACATTATTGATTCTCTGAAAAGAAAAAATAAAACATGCAATATGTTGTATGTCAATACCTAACTTGAAGAGGAATAACACTAAATAGGCTAAATTTTGAATGCAATGTGTCGTATGTCGCATAGTATTATTAAACTAATTAGTGTAGTAAATCAATAACACTAAAGAGAGAATGAATAAGTAACAACCTACTTGCATTTTAATTATTTGAAAAAAACGTAAATCTCATTATAAGAACCTAAATATTAAAATAATTTATTTATGGAAAAAAATTGAGGTTACACTATTTATTTTTTCAATTATTATTGTGTTTCTCAACTAAAAATTGGACTATATATAAAGTTTTAGTATTTTAAAATCAAAAAAGAACAAAGAACTTACCATAATATTATGTATTTTGTATGTATGTACCTACATAAATTCACTTTGATCACTTCTAACGGCTGTTTTTAAGTTTACAGTTGACTACCTAATGAGCAATTTAAGTGACATACGCCATCGAAATATCCAATTGTGCGGCGTTGCCACATACGGAGAGAATGATTCTGACATACGCCATACTGAAGTATCCATTTTAGTCAAGAAAAACTTACGACATATTTGCACGTATAAAAAATCATGGTAACTGTTAAACTTTCACCTACGATATTTTGCAGGGGCGTAGAGGACTGCAATTTGGTTACAATGGATATAAACGGAAAGTAGCCATATTTGTGACATACGACAAATTGCAGTATCACCGACGAAAGGTCACTTCTAAGCGTTAACTAAAAGCAGATCTACTACTACCACAGAATGATCAGTTTTCAATATTTTCACTGGATGTCACTCTATCGTACACAAATATACGACGGTGTCTCAAATTAGGCGCCTGTCTCGAATTCGGTGCCTTTCCTCTATGTGACCAAAGTAGCTTATTTTTCTTTTCTTTATAGTGTTGAGTATTTCTTTATCTTTTTTCATTCTTCGTAGCTGATCCTCATTTTTTATGTGTTGTGTCCAAGATATTTTCCACATTCTTCGATAACACCACATTTCAATGTCAATGAGTCTTTGCTCTGTCGCCACTGTAATTGTATAGACCTCAACTCCATACAACAGGACAGAGAACACGTAGCATCTCAATATCCCCATTCTAATTTCAATGTTGAGTTTTCCATTGCATAATATTGCTTTCATCTTATTAAAACCCTACTACCGTATTAATGAAACATATTTATAAAATTAGAAAATGTTTAATAAATAACATGTTTGAAGGGATATTACAAAATTATATCGTGGAAAAGATTTTGTAATTCCTAAATCTCCGCTATTATATTC